GCGCTCTTGGACCGTTGGAAGCTCGAAAACGCGAGAAACCAAAGCACATTGAACAAACAAACAACATAAAATCTACGATTTTGGCCTCTTCGGGCCGTCCCAGGACGCCTCTCGGACCTCTCTTGAGGTCTCTTGGAGGTTACCTGGGAGCCTCGCGAGCCGTCGAAAGGCTGACTTGGGCTGCTTGGCAGCGTTTTGGGCTACCCTTTCGCATTCTGGGGGCTCCTGGGAGGCGTCTCGGGCCCTCCTGTAGCGCTGTGGAGGCCCCCCGGAACGCCCGGGGGAGCGGTACCGGGAGCGTTCCCGAGATGTCACGGGGAGGTGTGGCACCCGGGGCTGGGGGGTGCTCTATTGGGGTGGCTCTTGGGGCGTCTTCGGGGCCTCTTTTGGTGTTTTTTCGGGTCTCATGGGGGCCTCTTGGGGAATGGGCGCTTCTTGGAGCCTATTGGGGTCTCCTGGGGGTCTTGGGCCAAAAGGCGCGAATTTCCGGTTCGTCCCCGTCTTGGGCGCCGCCTTCCGCCTTGGCCCCCTCGTGGGCCGTCTTGGAGCCCTCTTGGGGGCATCCTCGACCATCTTGGGTGCCTCTTGGGCCGTCTTGGGCGCAGTGGAAGCCCAAAAGGCGAACACGCCAAACATAGCAGTTTTTCTTATTAGGAAATCGACGATGTTTGCTTAATTATGTGGGGCTCTGTTGGGGTGCCTCTTGGGAGCCTCCTGGGGGTCTCTTGGGGGCCTCTTGGGGCCTCTGGGGGGCCTCTTGGGGCCTCCTGGGGACCTCTTGGGGCCTCCTGGGGGCCTCTGGAGCCGAAAGCTCGGAATATGAATATGATTGTGCACCTCTGGGACCCCTCTGGGGCTCGTCCTGGGGCTCTCTTGGGCTGTCTTGGGGGCCTCTCGGGCCGTCTTGGGACCCTCTTGGGGTCGTCTTGGAGCCCTCTTGGGAGCCTGTGGTGCAGTCTTGGGGACCTCTTGGGCCGTCTTGGACGCAGTGGACGGCCAAAAGGCGAACACGCCAAACTTAGCAGTTCCCCCATCGGAAATCACATATTTTTGCTTATTGGACCACTCTCGGGGTGCCTCTTGGGGCGTCTTCGAAACCGCTTTTGGTGTTTTTTCTAATCTCAGGGGGGCCTCTTGGGGCGTCTGGGCCCCTTCTTGCAGCCTCTTGGGGTCTCCTGGGGTCTCTTGTGCCAAAAGGCTAGAATTTCCGGTTCCTCGTCCCCGTCTTGGGCGCCGCCTTGGGGCGTTCGTGGGCAGTTTGGGCGCCTCGTGGGCCGTCTTGCCCCCCTGTGGGCCTTCTTGGGCCCTCTTGGGAGCATCCTCGACCGGCATAGGTGCCTTTGGGGCCGTCTTGGACGCAGTGGACGCCCAGAAGGCAAACACGCACAAAAAATAGCAGTTTCCCCATAGGAAATCCACGATTTCTGCTTATTGGGCCTCTCTCGGTGTGCCTCTCGGGGCGTCTTCGGGGCCTTCGGGGGCCTTCTTCGCGTCATGGGAGTCGTCTTGAAAGGCGTCTGGAGCCATCGCTGCGGCCTCCTGGGGCCTCCCTGCAGCCTCTTGGGGCCCTGTTGGCCCCAGGTCGCCGAAACCCCGTAAACAAACAGGGAAAACGACGCCCTGGCCCCACATTTGCGGTCGTGGTCGTGGCCCCCCGGCCTTCGGACACGGTCCCCCGTTATGTGTATATATATACACACATACATACATACATACATACATACATACATACATACATACGTACGTACGTACGTACGTACGTACGTACGTAAGTACGTACGTACAAACATACGCACATACATACACATACACATACACATACACATACACATACACATACACATACACATACACATACACATACACATACACATACACATACACATACACATACACATACACATACACATACACATACACATACACATACACATACACATACACATACACATACACATACACATACACATATACATATACATATACACATATACATACACATACATACATACACATACACATACATATACATATACATACGGCGCACCGGGTCTGGGCGCCCAGGACCGGCGCCGCTACCGCAAATGTGGCCTCCGGGGCCCTCGGGCAGCCTTGGGGCCGCACAGAAGGCCGCCAGAAGGCGCCAAGGAAGCCCCAAGAGGCTCCAGAACAGACCCGGGACGCCCGAAGGTCGCTCCCAGACGCCCAACATGGCCTCCAAGGCAGCTTCAGAAGCCCCCAAGACACCCCAAGCGATCCCCAATAGGGCCCCAAAGAGAGCCCCAAGGGGCCAAAATTGCCCCATTGCTTTTTTGTAAAACGTATACTTTTGACATATTGCTTGTTTTCGCTGTCGGTCCGTGCTTGACGACCTCAGAAGCTCCCAAGACCGCCCCAATACGGCCCAGGACGCGCCACAGAGGGCCCAAATACAGCCCCAGAAATCTCCAGGACGGCCCACGAAGGGCCCAAGACGGCCCAAGAGAGTCCCCAAGACGGGCCCGAGAGGGCCCCAGAGGAGGAAAACCACCATCGACTTCCAAGTTTTCGACCCCAAGTGGCTCCAGGAGGCGCCGAGAAGCCCCCAAGAAGCGCCTGGAAGGCTCCCCAAAGCACCCCAAGACGCTCCAAGAGGCACCCAAAGAGAGCTCCAAGAAGCAAACATCGCCCCATTCCTTTTGGAAAGCGTATATGTTTCGTATGTTCGCCTGTTGGGCTGTCATCGCGCCCAAGACAGCCCAAGGAGTTCCCAAGACGGCCTAGGAGGCCCCCAAAAGAGCTCCAAGACGGGCCACGAGAAGCCCAGGACGGCCCAATGGACCCCCAAGACGGCCCGAAAGAGCCCCAAGACGCGCCCGAGAGGAGTCCCAGAGAAAGAAAGCCACTCTCGAATTCCGAGCTTTCGGCCACAAGAGATCCCAGGAGGCGCCGATACGCCCCCAAGAGGCCCCAAGCAGGCCCCCCAAAGCACCCCAAGATGCTCCAAGAGGCACCCCAAGAGAGCCCCAAGAAACTAAAATCCTTCCATTCCTATGGGGAAACGTATATTTTTCGCATGCTCGCCACCTGGGCTGTCACCGCGTCCAAGACTGCCCAAGAGGCCCCCCCAAACGGCCTAGGAGGCCCCCAAGAAATCTCCAAGACGGCCCACGAGGAACGCAGGACGGCCCAATCGGCCCCCAAGACGGCCCAAGAGAAGTCTAAGAAGCGCCCGAGAGGGGTCCCAGAAGAAGACAGCCACTTTCGATTTCCGAGCTTTCGGTCCCAGGAGGCGCCGATAGGCCCCCCAGAGGCCCCAAGAGGCCCCCCAAAGCACCCCAAGATGCACCCAGGAGGCCTCCAAGAGGCCCCCAAGAGGCTCAGAACTTGGTTCTAATGCGCCGGCGAGAGAGGCATCCAAGATACCATGCGAACCTTCTCTCTGGGGCCGTAGGTGGATCTTCGTGTGGGCCAAGACCCGTGTCAGGGGTGTGCCGACTCGGGTGAATCGGATGCGAACATTGCCGGGGGCCGTGGGTTGAAGTCTATCAAGCATAGCTAGAACCTGAGCGCGCGCGAAGCGCGCGCGATGGTTCTAGTATGTATGTATATATATATATATATATATAATATATATATATATATATATATATATATATATCATGGCAAGACCACATGGGGCGGCGGATCGAATAGCCTTCGGCCCATCCCGCCACCGAGCTTGGATCGGGGGTATGGAGCCTATTGGATGTTCGTTGTGGTATCGTGGGAAGCCTCTAGAGGGCCTCTTGGAGGCAGTTCTGAAGCCTCTTAGGGGCCGTTTTGGGGCCTCTTGGGTCCCTCTTGGGGCCTCTTGGGGGTCTTTGGGGCCTCTTGGGCGCCCCTTGGGCGCCTCTTCGGGCCTCCTGGGGGCCTCTTGGGGCGGAAGGCACGGTTTTTCAGTTCGTGATTCCTTTCTTGGGCTCCTTTTGGGGCCGTCTTGGGGCTCTCTTGTACCGTCTTGGGGCCCCATTGGAGACCTCTTGAGCCGTCTTGGGGTGGTCTTGGTGGCCTCTCGGGCTGTCTTGGAGCGTCGGAAAGCAGAAAAGGCGAGGACGCCAAAATCAAGCAGCAATTCAATGATTGTGGCCTCTTGGCAGGCCTCTTGGGAGTCGTCTTGGAGGCCTCTCGGGCCGTCTTGAGGGGGTCATCTTCGGTGTCTCGGGGCCTTCTTGGGCCGTCTTGAGGGCCGCTTGAGGCGCTCTTGACCCGCCTTGGGACCCGCTTGGGCTCGAACAACTCACGCGAGAAGACGCGAGCAGGCCCAGGGAGCAAGCGCGAAGCCCAAGAAGATTTGGCAATTTGGGACCCACACCCCTTCAAGAATCCTCAGAGTGAGGCATGAGGCTCAGATGGTCAGACAAAGGACCCGAGGACACGCCAACTCCGTGCCCAAGGGCACGGTGGAGGATATACGGTCATCGTTTCAGGTGTGGGTTAATGTTGCTGGCTTGTTGCGTCCCTTCGATTCGAGCGAGGATCCGCTTGGATCTGCAGTCTTACAGTTTGGCTGACATGGTCTACGTGTCGTCTGCCTTGCCTGCACCTTGGGCGCTGCGCGCTCGCCCGTACGACGCGCGGCCTGTCAATGGAAGTAGGGCGTCAGGCACGTTTGAAGGACCGGACCTCGCTCGTGCCCGGCTGCGCACGGACGGCCCCCTCGGGTTCTCCAGGCCCCCCGAGCAGTCCCAGCTGGCCTGGACGGGCCCCCGGAGTGGACGGGTGCGGTCCCAGCGCCCCAGCCTCTGGGGCGCTCCACGCCCCCGGAGAGCGCCGCGGGAGGCGGCGCCGTGGTGCTGCTGCCGCCCCGGGACTGGCGGAGGGGCCTGCTGAGGCCAGCTGTGACTGGTCGGGGTGGCGAGCCACGAGTGCCTGCGGGGGCTGTCGGTGCGCTAACCCGCGGCCTTACCTTCGGCAGCATCGTCATCCCACGCTCGCATCCTCGTTTGGCGGAGCTGTTGCTGCGGCTGCGTCGCCTCCAGGAGTTCCTGACGTTCTGCATCGACGGACTGCACGAGGACCTCAATAGGGTCACCGAGCCGCCGCCGCCGCTGTCCCCGGACCAGGAGAAGGAGGACGAGAGGCGCCCAGGGTTGCAAGGAAAACAAGATTGCCCTAACATTAGCGTTCGGAGTTTCGCTCGGATGTCTCTGATCGGCGCCGGGGCCCCCTCTGACGGCGCCTCTGGCGCCGTCCTTGGCGCGCTCCGCGCGCCAGGGAGGGTGTCCAGCGCAGATCCAGGAAGTCCGAGCGGACCTCTGAAAGTTTATGCTTGTTTTATCCGTGAGGGCTTCGCCCCCTACCGCCAGCCCCCTCACTCTCATAATGGGATATAACGGAGCCGCGTCGGTGCGTCTCGGCACTGCCTTGGCGCATCTGGGAACATCATGCGGGGGCGGATAGGAATCATCAGCGCATATTGAGACGTTAGCGTTATCGAAGACGCCTACGGCGAATCACCGCCGCCCCCTGCCTTTTTGGAAGCGCCTATGTGGCCGAACGTTGAGGCCAGACCTGCCAAGCTATCGGACCATGTGTTCCCCGAATCGGTTTGGAAAGCCTTCGGGGAACACGTGGGCATCTTGAAGGTCATCTTGGCCGTCTGGAGGCCATTTTGACCCTTTCGGGCCTTCTTGGAGGACGTCTTGGAGGGCTCTTGGGCCGTCTTCGAGGCCAGCTTGAGCGTCTTGGAGACCTCTTGGGCCGTCTTGGGGGCCTCTTTGGGCCGTGTCCTGGGCCTCTTGGGCGATCTTTGGGGGCACTTGGGCCGTCTCGGGCCGTCGGAAGGCAGAAAAAAAGCAAATGCCACAATCCTTCAAAAACCAATGGGAAATCAATGATTTTGGCCTTTTCGAGTCTTCCTGGAGGCCCCCTTGGAGGCCTCTTGAGCCGTCTTGGGCCATCTTAGGGCCATTTTCGGCCTTCTTGGTGGGCTCCTGGTCCGTCGGACGCCGTCGGAAGCCGTTTGGGGGGCCTCTATGGGCCGACTTGGGGCCCTCTTGGAATGCTCCAGGGTCGTCTTGGAGGCCCATCTTGGGCGTCTTAAAGGCTTCCTGTGTCGTCTTGCTGGAGCGTTTTTGTCGGACCGTCTTGGGAGCCTCGTGGGGTCCGGGCGACCGCCCCAGGGAGTTCCGGCATCGTTGAGGGGGACCTTGCCGGGGTATTTCTCGTCCAGGGATCCCCAGGGGCTGTCCCGCGCGCGAATTAGGAGGTGTTTGCAACCTGTTTCCAGAGATCTTAGCACGCCTCTGGCCCGTCGGGCCGGCGAATTTTGCGGTACAGGTGTACAGGTATTGCGACGCCACCCGCACCAGGAAATCGTGTTTCGTCTTCAGGCCGCGCGTTGTGGGTCTTCGTTTGAGGCTATGCGCGCGTCGCTGTGACGCTCGGTCGCATGACGCCATAATTTTGCCGGTCTTGCCCCAGCGGTGTGGGTGGTCGGAGCCCTTCCACGTGGTTATTGCGCGCATTGTTTTGGGGGTATCCAGTCCAGCGATGATGGGGGTGTGCCTTCGTCTGGTGTGGAGAACGCGTAATCAAGCGTGAGATACAGGTGCGCAGCATCGCACAGCCTTTGCGAGACCTGTGCAGTATAACTACACGCCGAACATCTGCACAGGGAAAATGACTTGAACATAACAGATGCTTGACGTACGTACGGGTACACAGTTAAATCATGATTCATGACACGGTGTGCGATGATGCGAATGTCACCACACTTGGGGAGTTTGTTAAGCACATCCACAGCGCATAAGAAAGAACCGCGAAGCACTCGTGACACAGATGTAAGCTGATGGTCAGCGCATGCGGTGCAATCAAGCGGGTGCTTGACACATGGTACGCCATTGCGAAGCACATTCTTTATACGTCTGCTACAATAGTGATAGTAAAGCAACTGGAACGGTCCTGACTCATTGCGTGCGTACTAATCTCGCACAGGCTACGAGGCGGGAGTAATTTGGAGCACACGACGGAATGTTTGAAATGAGTGGTCATCCAAGCGAAGTCGATACATCATTGCGCAAATGCGAAGCAATTAGGTGTGGTCACGGTGTCACGCAAGACACGGGATACCGCTCATGAACATCCGAGGGTGTTCACGTGACGGAATTCCTAATGTGTCGCACAGTCATTCCCACAAGCACGTTCAGCGAGCGCAGGAGGATGCAGCCTGTCCTTGTTTGTGTGGTCGTTGGCGCATGGCTCCTGGTGGTGGTCTATGGCGACGTCGCCCGGCTCATAATCAATTTCGTCGACGTCTGTTCCGCGTGTTCAACGGCTTTCGCCTCCGTGCGTTTCTGCCCCAAGCTCGCCTGCCTACCCGCCTGCTTCGTCCCGCCAGCTCTAGCTTCCCGCCTGCGCGTTCGCCGTCGCCTGCCAATTCCGAGACCCCAGAGCTCAGGCGTCGCATTCGCCCAAGCATTTTTCCCGCTGGAGGAGTCGGCGGCAGCGGCAGAGGAGGAGGAGGAGGCGGAGGAGGAGGAGGAGGAGGAGGCCGGGAGGAGGAGGAGAGGAGGGCGGAGAAGGAGGAGGAGGGGAGGCGGAGGAGGAGGAGATGGAGGACGAGGAGGAGGAGGAGGAGCAGGAGGAGGAGGAGGAGGAGCAGCAGCAGGAGGAGGAAGAGGAGGAGGAGGAGGAGGAGGATGAGGAGGAGGAGGAGGAGGAGGAGGAGGAGAAGAAGCAGGGCAGGAGGAGGAGGAGGAGGCGGAGAAGGAGGAGCAGGAGGAGGAGGAGGAGGAGGACGAGGAGGAGCAGGAGCAGGAGGAGGAGGAGGGGCACAGCCCTCGACGCGAGGCTCGGGTGCGAGCGCGGGCACGAGTTCGCTGCGGCACTCGCGTGGCTACGGCACCTCGAGAGCGGCAGGCCCGCCGCTCATTACTCTCCTCTCCTCACTCCTGCCTCCTCCCTCCTCCCTCCCTCCTCCCTCCCTCGTCCCTCCCTCCTCCCGTCCTCCCTCCTTCCCTCCTCCCTCCCTCCTCCCTCCTCACTCCTGCCTCCTCCCTCCCTCCTCCCTCTCTCCTGCCTTCGCCTCCTCTTCCTCCCCCGCGGCCGCCGCAACGCGGGCGAGACGGTCCTCCTTCTTGCCTCCCCTTTGCGCAGGTTTTTTGTTTTGCTTGATGCGAGCTGTGTCCGACACGCGTGGCCAAGGTCTCAGTCAAGCCCACCGCGTTGCCGTACAGCTGGCGCACCCGATACGAGCCAGTCCTAGAATTACCCGAGACGTACCCAGCCCTTCCTCAACCCGAGTCGACTATTCGAAGGAAGGCTCCATACAAAAGAACATGTTTCAAGAACACTCTGCTCCGCTGGACCTTCCAGGCGCCCACGACAGTGGCAACAATTGCGCACTGCGTAACCCCCCAGGGAGCCGCGAGGTCTCTGAAGGATGTGCGTACTCCCCCATTCTGCTTGGCCTCCCAGGAGCCCACGAAAAAAGCGACAGAGGGTCAGATCGCAGCCACTCAGGGAGCTGCAAGGTCTTGACTGGGTGCGCGTATACCCTTACTCCGCCGTGCCTCCCAGGAGCCCACGAAAGTGGTGACAGTTGCGAGGTCTTGGCTGAGTGACCGTACTCCCCTACTCCGCCGGGCCTCCCAGGAGCCCGCAAACGTGGTGTCAGGTGCGAAGGTCGCAGCCACTCAGGGAGCTGCGAGGTCTTGGCTGGGTGCGCGTGCTCCCCTACTCCGCCGTGCCTCCCAGGAGCCCGCGAAAGCGGCGAGAATTGCGCAGTTCGCAGCCACCCAGGGAGACGCGAGGTCTTGGCTAGGTGCGCGTACGTTCCGTCTCCCCGTGCCTCCCTGGAGCCCGCGAACGTAGCGACAATTGCACAGTCCGCAGCCGCCCAGGGAGCCGCGAGTTCTCGGCTGGATGCGCGTACTCCCCTACTCCGCCGTGTCTCCCACGAGCCCACTAAAGTGGCGACAGCTGCGCAGGTCGCAGCGCGAGGTCTCGGCTGGATGCGCGTACTCCCCTAATCCGCCGTGCCTCCCAGGAGCCCACGAAAGTGGCGACAGTTGCGCAGGTCGCAGCCACCATGGAAGCCGCGAGGTCTTGGCTGGATGCGCGTACTCCCCTAATCCACCGTGCCTCCCAGGAGCCCACGAAAGCGGCGACAGATGGGCAGTTCGCAGCTATCTTGGGAGCCGCGAGGTCTTGGCTGGATGTGCGTACTCCCCCCACTCCGCTTGGCCTCCCACGAGCCCACGAAAGTGGCGACAGTTGGGCAGTTTGCAGCCACCCAGGGAGCAGCGCAGGAGGATGCAGAAGGAGGGTGGAGGAGAAGGAGAATGAGAAGGAGTGGTTAGCACAGTGCTCTCTCAAAACCAGAACCCAGTGCAGGAGGTCTGGGAAAAACATAGAGGCACATGCCACATGCCACATCTGTCTTTCAGTTGCATAAGGTGTTCAAGAGCTTCTGTTGGCCTACTGGGGGTAAGAAATTTGTGCGGGGCATCTGCAGGCAAGCCGGTTTCTTATTGGATGCGCCTACTGTATTTGAGCCGTCCCTGTCTTGCTCATACCTCAAGCAGCAGCTACACATGTGCAATCTATGCCAGCACAGCGCGCCAGATCTGGAAGAGCACCTACGGTCGGGAACGTTTGGTTAGCTTGTCGCTCCGCCAGTTCAGGCCCACCACGTTCCGGCGCAATACGCTAATCACTTCCCAATTTCGAAGCGTCAGCGTTCCGACCCTCTCTCCGACGCAACCTACGTTGCTTCGCATGCAGCAGGCCCCGCGAGCGATGGGGTGAATGGTTTCGCATGGACATCCAGCGTGGCGGGTAGCCGAGGTCCAGCAGCAATGAGATGAAAACGCTGGCACACGCGGCCATGCCAACCTCAGAAGTCCGCCAGGGGGAAGGGTGCGACAGCTGCTTTCCGAAGGTGCTGCAGCGCAGGAACTCGGAGGAGAAACAGATACCGATCCCTCTGCTCTCTCCCTCGTTTTGGCCTTCTCGGGGCCTACGGGGAGGCTTTGATCGCCACGGCTGGGTTCCTTTCGACATCCCGACCAGAACTCACCATAGGAGAGACCCAGGCAATAACGGTATGGGTGCCTTTTGGTCCCCTCCACCTAGCAGCTCATCACGCTCCAGAAGCTCACCTTGAACAACTCTTGGACGGTTCGCATCTTGTCAGGACCGTTTCGGGATTGCATTATTGTGGGCCTCACCTTCACGATGGTCGTGGAGGGCCTCAGGCAGAGGGGCTCAAAGAGTTCGGGCCACCACATAAGCACATTTACGGTTGCTCTATTGTTGTTTGCTTGCGAATGTTGAGAATTTGTCCGTCGATGCCAGGCTGTTCCTAGACACGCTCGTAGGTCTGATGCAAGTAATGAACCGCGGGGAAAGGAAAGAGCTACTGGCTACTGCGCTATTTCGACCAGACGAAAACGGTGGACAAGGATGGCAACCCAGACAAGGCCATTCCACAGGAAGTTGGTGGTGCAAAGGTAAACAGACAGGGTCGGCACCCACAGCCTTGAGGTCGCGAGGTGCGCCGTTGACGGAGCTCCGCATCCTGCTCGTCAGGGCTCCGGCAAGAGTGAGGTGGGCAGCGCAGCAGCACCTGTCGGCCAAAGCGGGCACGTAGACATCGACGGGCTCTGCCGACTTCGCTCAAGGCGACAGCCAGAGAGCCGAAGAGATACCCCTACATCACACAATCCACTCGCCACGATGACAGCGACGGGCGACCGCGGCACAGCTATCTGAAGCATGTCTCCAGTGATTGGGTATAGCCACAGACGTAGTTCTAACAACTTTGAAGCATGTTGAACGAGGATCACTTTAATGCGCGCGGCGCCTACACATGTTCCATGCTTGTCGGCTGTGCTCAGCTTCCGCTCGGAGCTGGGGGGGGGGGGACGGGCAATGAGTTCGGTGGAGTTTGAGGCGTAGTAAGCCCCACGGCGCACCGGTGCATGCTAGTATTTCGTTGTCGGCGAGGCTCGAAACGGCTACCCCTCTCCGTTCGGTTTCCGTTTGCCCGAGTTTCGTGACCTTGCGTCCCCCCCCCGGCTTCCTCCCGCAGTTACCTGCCCCGGGGTGTGAGGTTATGGGCCCAGGTGCTCTACGCCTCCCATTTCTGCGCCATGGAATCTTGCAGGGCGTCTTCGTGCTACCGCTGGCCAGGACGGTGACTCTTGAACCGGTGGTCCCGCACGCTGGCCCAACTTCTGTGTAAAGCTACCAGCAACGTTTATGAGTCTGCACGCATCGCCAGTCAGTGCGGTGCCCGCCGAGACAGCAAATACCCAGCTCTGCTATGTTATGTTCTCCTTGTCCCTCCTCCTTTCTCCCCCTCTCCTCCCTCCCTCGTCGCCCGCTCCCCTCGCCAAATCAGGGCGAGCATTTGCCCGCCCCCGGGACCACTTCGCCACACCCGCAGCCCTCCTCGTCTCCTGTTCCTCCTCCTCCTCCCGCCCCGTGGTGTCGTCAGCCCGACCCTGTCGGGTGGTCGAGTAGGCGGCCGCCGCCGCCTCTTGGGGGCGGCGCGCAGCGAGACGTCGTCGTCGCCGCTGCCGTCGTCCTCCTTGCCGTTGTCGTTGCCGTCGCCGCCGCCGTCGTCGACACTGTTTCGCCGTCCCCGTGCGGCTCCCAGCGGGAATCCTCCAGCGACCAGGCACCCTGCCGCTGCCGCCGCTCTGCACTGCATCGTGCAGCTCCCCTGGCCGTGGCAGTGCCGCCTTGGCGATGCGGGCGTGTCAGATCGGCGGCGAAGTCCGAAGCCCACCCTCGCCGATCAGCGATTCGGGCAACTCGATGGGTGGCGTGGGTAGAGTTCGGAATTCGCTGAACACGTGACGAAATACGAAGCTTACCTTCGGCCCCTCGTCCATTTAGGCGGTTCGATGGTTGGTGGGGGCAGGGTTCGGATGTCGCCACCTATCAGATCCGATCATACCAGATCAGTCGTCGTCGTCGTCATATTCGCCTTCGCTGTGGGGCGCGCGCGCGCCCACCTGGGGGCAGGTCCTTCCTCGTGGACCTGCTGCAGGGGCAGCTCCGTTCCTCGGTCACCTGCCTCGGGCGCCTCCGCCCCGCCCCGACCCCTGTCCGAGAGTTTTGTCGCTGGCGCGGGTCGATGAGGGGAGAGGAAGCCCTCTTCCTCCTCATCCTCATTGCCACCCCTCCTCGTCCTCCTCCGCCTCCTCCTCCTCGTTCTCGTTCCCGTTCTCCTCCTCCTCCTCCTCCTCCTCCTCCTCCTCCTCCTCCTCCTCCTCCTCCTCCTCTCTCAGCCTTCTCCTCCTCCTCACCCTCCTCCTCCGCCTCCTCCTCATCATGATCATTAGCATCATCATCACATCATCACATCATCACCATCATCATCATCAGCATCAGCATCAGCATTATCACCAGCATCATCATCATCGTCATCACCATCATTCGCATCATCACCATCATCATCATTATCACCACCATCATCATCACCACCATCATCATCATCATCATCATCATCATCATCATCATCATCCTTAGCAACATCACCATCGTCGTCGGCATCATCATCATCGTAATCATCATCGGCAGCATCATCAGCCTCGTCATTATCCTCACCACCTTTATCGTCACCAGTCACGATCAGCACTATCACCATCATCACGATCACCATCATCGTCAACAGCATCATCGACTCCATGACCATCATCATCACCATCATCGTTGTCATCATCACCATCATCATCATTATCATCATCATTGTCATCATAATATTCATCATCATTAACATCACCATCATCACAACCATCATTACCATCATCATCGTCCTCACCATCACCAGCATTTCCACTCCCCATCAGCATCGTCATCATTTTCAGCATCATAATCATCACATCAGCATGATCATTAGTATCCTTCACCCATCGTCACCGTCTCCATCCATCATCTTCCAGGTCATCAGCATCGCCATCCTCGTCAGCATCATCATCCTTACCGCCATCATCATCATCGACATCAGCATCTCCATCAGCATCATCATCGTCATCGTCATCATCGTCATCATCATCAGCGTCATCGTCATCACCATCATCGTCATCGTGATACCGTTCATCATCACCATCGTCACCGTCATCATCATCATCATCATCATCATCATCATCATCATTATCATCATCATCAGTATCATCATCATCAGTATCATCATCACCGTCATCACCAGCATCGTCAACATCATCGCCATCATCAACGTCAGCAGCATCACCACAATCATCAACACCAATCGGCATCACCATCATCAATTGCCCCATCATCGTCATCATCATCATTCTCGTCATCATCACCATCATCTTAATCAACAGTATATTTGTCGTGTTTGCCATCGTCATCATTACAATCATCGTCATCAAAATCATCATGGTCATCATCGTCACCATCATCTCAATTTTAATCAGCAGCAGCATCTTCATCACCATCATCACCATCGTCATCATCTCCATCATCATCATCGTAATCAGTTCCATCAGCACCACCGCATCACCATCATCATCGCCGCGTCGTCGTCAGCATCATCGTCATCAGCGCCATTATTGTCACCATCATCATCATCATCACCATCATCGTTTCATCATCACGATTTTCATCGTCCCATCACCATCATCATTACCATCATTACCAGCATCATCATTACCATCACCACCATCATCACCATCGTCATCATCATCGCCTTCATCACCATCATCACCATCATCATCGCCAAGGCCACCGGCATCATCATCATTATCATCGCTGCCTTGATCATCATGAGCACCATAGTCACCACCACCATCATCACTATCAAGATCATCATTGTCATCATCACCATCTTCATCACTATCCGCAGCATCATAAAAGAATCATCACCATCATCATTACCATCAGCCTCATCATCACCATCATGCTCATCATTATGATCTTCATCACCATACTCATCGTAATCGTCGTTGTCGTCATCATCATTATCATCATTCTCATCATCACCATCATCATCATCATCACCATCATCATCATCATCATCATCATCATCACCATCATCATCATCATCATCATCATCATCATCATCATCATCATCATCATCATCATCATCATCATCTCTTCTAATTGTTTGCTGTTTTTGCCACCAGAGGCTTTTGGAGCTCTGATGAACTTTCGGGTCCCGTGGAGACCTCCAGGGAGTCGGCGCTGGCACGGGGCGGGGAAGGGGATACAGGGGTCCCAGAGGCCTCTCTGGGCGGGCCCGCGCCGGCGCTCGCGCCCGCGCGCGCCCGCGCCCGTGCCCGCTCCCGCGCCCACGCCCACGCTCACGCCTGCGCCTGGTCTGGTCTGCGTCCTCGCCCACGGACGCATCGCGCGCGCCCGCGTCGCGCCCGCATCGCATCCGCGTCCACACCCGCGCCTGCGCCTGGGCCCCTCCTGAAGCCTGGGGAGTCTGGGAGATTCCGCCGCGAAGGGAAGGAATCTCGCAAGAAGCGGCTCTTAGAGAAACTCCTCGCCGTTTCGGGGTCCTGCACCCCCCCCCCACCCCTGTGCACCGCGGCCTGCACCAAAAATCCCGGGATGAAGCGAAAAAGACCGACAGCATCAAATTGTCGGAGGTCCGCGCGGATTTCATGGATCGGCGTTCGGCCCCCCCTGTTGGGCTCGCGGAGCGCGCCAGGGACGGTGCCGCAGGCGCCGCCAGGGGGGGGGGGGCCCAGCGGCGCCGATCCAAGAAATTCGCGCGGACCTCCGGAAGTCTATGTTTTGCTTCGAAGCCCGTCCTGGACGAGCCCCAGGGCCCAGGATCATTTTACACCAGGGCCCGCCCCCCTCATGGGAGGAGCGGGGCCAGCGGCAGAAGCGGGCATCTAGGAAGGCCTTGGGCTGATAGTGGTATACGCTGATGGTCATGCAGAGAATGGTAGAAGTTGCCGAAGAAACAGGCGAGGGAGGAGGAGGACGAGTCCAGATGCGGAGGAATGGTTGGGCAGGTAGGCGAGGAGATAGAGGAATCGAAGAGGTGAAGGACAAGGGGGCGGAGCAGGAACATGAAGGGAGGAGGGGCAGGCCGAAAGTAATCAAAACACATTGGTCCAGAGGGGGCCGAAATGAAGGGAGGAGAGGAGGGGGAGTGGGAGAGAGGAGGAGGGAATAAGGCAAGTTAGGTGCGCCCGCGTGATATTTGACGTCCTATCCCTCCCTTCCATCCCTTACCATGGCGTAGATATCCTCTCTCTTCGCACAGTCGGATGCCGAGCAGGGCAATGATCGCGAGAGGGTACGCGATGCATGGTAGGGCACGGCTTGGCATGGCGTAGAAAGCGCGGCAGATCGTAGCATGCCATAACGCGGTGTGGCATTGCGTAATGAAGCATTACACAACGCAGCATTGCTACGTAAAGCATGGCATCGCACAGCGGCGCAGAACACTTTTTTTACCCGCGCGAGATGGTCGCCTTGTGGCTGGGGGGGAAGAGAGCAGCAGCAGCAAGGGGAGAGGGAGGGGGAAAGAGAAGGCAGCAGCAAAAGCAAGCAAGCAAGCAAGTAGCGCGGGCGCGGCCAGGCCGGCGCCTCCGCGCGCCCAGGGCGCGCGCTCCCGCCCCGCAGCCGGGAGCCCCGGCGGCCCCAGGGGGCGCCGCCGCCGCGCGCTGAGCGCCGCTAGGCCGCGGGCCGCGCGGCCGCGGCGGCAGCCTCCTGCCAGAGCAGCCCTGCGCCCGCGCGCGGCTGCCTCGGCCGCGTCGGGCTCCACGAACGCCCCGACCGCCGCCAGGAGGCGCTCCCGCACCGCCTGGAAGCTGAGGCCCCGCATGGGGACGCTCAGCAGCGGCGCGAGCTCTCGCGCCGCGGCCCAGCCGCCGGCGGCCAAGCGGCCGCGGAAGGCTTCGAGGAGCTCCTCGCGGGCCGCCGCAAAGGGCGCGGTCCTCGGAGCCGCTGCGCGCTGGGCGCGCGCCCTTGCCGGCTGGGCCAGCAGCAGCAGCAGCAGCAGCAAGTGCGCCAGGGTTTCAGGCCGCCTCCGCTGGGGAGGCGCTCGCCGCGCCCGCGCCCCGGCAGCTGGCGCAGAGGCCGCCAGCTGCACCGCGCCGCCGCTGCCGAGCTGCGCCTCCTGTGGCGCGCTGCGCGCGCCTGGCGGGGCTGCCCGCCGCTGCCTGCGCAAGCGCCGCCCTGGGCGCGGCAGCCAGCCCTCCGCCCCCCCCGAAGCAGGCGCGGCGTCCTCGCCAGGGCGGCCGCCTCGGGCCGCCTCCCCCTCGGAGGCCCTCGCCAAGCACGCGCACTCCGCGCCGCGGGCCGCCTCCGTCCCAGAAGCGCTCGCCGCGGCGCGGGCTGCTGTGCCGCCAGGCTCGCCGCGGGCCGCCCGGTGGGCGCTCGCCGCAGCGCCCGCCTGGTGCGCGTCCTCGGCGGCTGCGCCGCCAGCAGCCGCCGGCACGCTGGGGGCGCGGGCCGCCTCCGCTAGGGAGGCGCTCGCCGCGCCTGCGCCAGCAGGGGTCGGCGCGGTTGCCAGCTGTGGCGCTCCGCAGCCGCCGCGGGCCGCCTCCTGGGAAGCGCTCGCCGTCGGCTCTCCGCGTGCAGCCTCTGCCCTCTGGCTGCTGGCAGCGGTCGGCCGCTGCCCGCCCTCGTCCCCCAAGGAGTCGTCTTCGGCGTCCGCCCAGCGAGGCCTCGGCGCTTGCCCCAGGGCCGCGCGCGCTTGCAGGGGGAACCCCCAGGCGCCGTCGAGCGCGTCGTACGACCTCTCGAGGTCGTGCTCGCTCGCGCGGGGGCTGTGCTCGCGCGTGCCCAGGTGCCAGTTGTCTGGCTTGGATGGCGCGCCGAGCTGCCCCCTAGCGCGCCCCCTGGCGGGGCACTGGCGCTCCGGCCCGCGCTCAGGCCCCCGCCCGGCTCTGGCCCTGGCGCACCAGGAAGGCGCCGTCCCCGATACCGCAGCAGCATGTCATGACGTGGCACCGGGTTCCTTGGAGGGTCAATGGGTCGTCTTCAAGAGGCCTGGGCTGGTCTGGAGTCGTGGCTCCATCTCTTGCTCCTTGGGCTCCCCGAAAGCTCCACACAAGGCGGGGCTGATGGAGAGCACCCGCTGGCTCTGCTTTCAACATCGCCTTCTCAAAGCAGAAACGGGGCTTCCGCTTGATACTTCTTGAAAGCGACGACGCATCAAAGCAGGGGGGGGCTTTGCGGCCTAAGAATCAACGAATCGACACCGAATGTGTAATCATTTCCAATGGTTGTTGGGGGATATGTTTTAGATGTTGGGGTTTATTCGGAAGGACCGAAAACGCTTGCGCTGCAGCGGGAGCACGATTTAGAAGGGACCGGCGCTTCAGCGTGAGCAGCACTATGAGAACAAAACCCAGCGAAAACCCGACTCCCGGGAATCCTGTGTGTAAAAAACAGTGCGCGGAGGGGGGCCGGCCATCTTCCGGACGTCATCAGGGGAGAGAGGAGAGTAGTCTTCAGATTGTGTATGAGGGAGATGAGGGAGGAAGAGAAGGAGGAGGAGGAAGATGAGGAGGAGGGGAGAGAGTGCAATTGTAGAAGAAGATTGATGAGGGAGATGAGGGAGGAGGAGGAGGAGGAGGAGACGCAAGAGGTGGAGGACAAGAGGGGAGAAGGAGGGAGGGAGGAAGAGGATGGAATTCGGGGGACGAAGAGGGCGGGAGTAAAAGGCTGATGAGGAGGAGGTACATGAAGACGGGGAGGAGAAGGATGCGTAGGAATACTTGGTGGAGGAGGAGGAGGACGACAAGGAGACGGACGAGCGGCATGAGGAGGCGACGGCGCATGAACATTAGGAGGGCGAGGAAGTGGAGGAGAAGCAGCATTAGCACGCAACTGCGCTGAACCGCAATCACGCTGACACTGCAGTGTGTGGAGCGTGAATATGAGACTTAGCTGGCACAGCTTACTGCTTTCTTGATATGAGCGGTGCCCATGCGAGGGCACATGATCCTTCTATTTCGTGTGGCAGGTCAAACTAGTTTGGGTTTCAGTTGTTCGCGCGTGCAGACATACACACGAAGCAGTATTTCGCAACGGAGTTCCCAATGATGTGCAGGAAGCACTCGGAGACATTTGGCCTCAATATAATGTTGCATTTACCTAGGCTGTCTTTCCTTTCCACATACAGCATGAACAACATAGGGGGCTCGTGCATCTTCGGAATATTCCGGCACTCACAAGTTACTTACCAGAGCGCCGAATAGCGCACTTGAGGCGCAGCTCAAGGGCATGGATAAGGATGTTCGCAGCAAGTTGAAGTCCGAACGTAAGGGATTTCAGTTTCCTCTAAAACAGTCCGATGAAGCACCAGGTCCATGCTGGCAGTTTTATTCAAGGCGCCACCAAGACCTCCAGAAACCAGTAGGTCCTAAAAACCTGGCTGAGGCCGAGAAGGACTTTGCAAATCATGGCCAGATTGAGGGTCGAAGCAATCTTTGTTCAGGAGAGGTCTCAGGATTGGCGGTCAAGAGTCCTGCTGCTATAGTCCCTGGAGCATCTGCGAAGACACCTGCAGACAGCGGTGTCTGTGGCCCCTCCAACGATTCCGACCAGGCTTGCCCTTTGCATTTGGAGAGTGGAGACGTCGTGAATGTGAAGGTTGGAGATTTGTGTCTGAAAGAGCCAGCGCCTGCAAACTTGTATAGCGACATTACGAAACATGGTGACACTTGCGAGATTCCTAAGACTGAAGTGAGAAAGATGTCTGTCAAGCAGTTGCAAGAGGTTGTCGCCCCGTTGCGGAGCCGTTGCGGCACCAGAGGATGATACAAGTCATCACGCTCGAATCCATTAATCTCTCTCGCCAGCCGCCTGCGGCAAGTCCCGCCACCGTGCTAGCCCAGCATTCTGGATGGCGACAGTTCGAGGGGGCATTGGAGGCCGTCACGCGCGACACCTGGTATCCCCAGGCTTGGGAGAGCCGTGATGAGGATAAGGAGAACGAGGAGACGCAGGAGGAGGTGGAGGGGGAGCAGGAGGATGGTGATGATGATGATGATGATGATGATGAAGATGATGATGATGATGGTGGTGATGGTGATGGTGCTGCTGATGATGATGGTGATGGTGATGGTGACGATGATGACGACTATGATGATGATGATGATGATGATGAACTTGATGATGATGATGATGATGACGATGGTGGTGATGGTGATGATGATGATATTTATGATGATGCTGATTATGATTATGATGATGATGACGATGACGATGATGATGATGGTGGTGGTGGTGGTGATGCTGATGATGATGATGGTGATGGTGACGATGATGATGACTATGACGATGAACTTGATGATGATGATGATGATGATGATGAAGATGATGATGATGATGATGATGATGATGATGATGATGATGATGATGATGATGATGATGCTGATGACGATGGTGGTGATGGTGATGATGATGATGATGATACTTATGATGATGCTGATTCTGATTATGATGATGACGACGACGACGACGACGACGATGATGATGATGATGATGATGATGATGATGATGGTGGTGGTGGTGGTGGTGATGCTGATGATGATGATGATGGTGATGGTGATGGTGATGGTGATGGTGATGGTGATGGTGATGGTGATGGTGATGGTGATGGTGAGGAGGAGGAGGAGGAGGAGGAGGAGGAGGAGGAGGAGGAGTCTCCTGCCCCGGTAGGACCAGCTCCCGTCCTCCGTCCGCTGGAGCCCCATTCACCTGCCCAATGCCCAGACTGGCGTTGCCCACTGGGTGGCTGCCCGAGAGGGGGGCGGCCGGGCTCGGGTGGCGTGCGGGAGGGATGCCCTTCCGATGCAGCGGGGTCCTGGTCGCCAGCTGCCCGTCCCCAGCTCTGGTCTCGCCGAGCGCGTTCCACTACTCGCAAAGTGCCTACTCGCAAAAGTCCGAAAGTCACGTGTCTGCTTTGATCTCATTTATCGTAGATCCCCTGCGGGGGATCCAGGCCATTTGCGAGTAGTCACTTTGCGAGTAGTGGAACGCGCTCCTCGATGGTCGGAGTGCCACGTCGATTCTTGCCGACTCCGACCGTGCATGGCGTCCTCAGGGGAGGATCTCTGGCGTCCTTCAGCAGTCCGTGCCGAGGACCGGGCGTCACTGTCTCGGGCGGCGGCGCGCCTGCGGGAGCCGCTGCCGTCGGCTGGGCGTGCACCGGTCCTGTCAGTGGGGTGGCGTCATCAGGGGAGGCTGGCGAGGCGGAGGCACCGTCTCGAAGACGAGTACAGATCCTCTCCAGCAGCGTGAGGGCAATCCTCCGTCTGGCGACGCGGTCGAGTTTGGATCATTCCTATGTGAGTGGTCCAGTTTGGATCATGTCTGTTTGGATCATTCGGCGTTGGAGCAGAGAGAAGGGGGGAGTTGTGCAATGTGCGATGAGGCTGGCAGCAGGCAGCACAGGCAAGCCAGTCATACGACGAAGGCGATGGGACAGAACATGCAACGAGCAGATGAAGGGTATGGCACTAACGTTTGCCGAATCTTCTCCATAGTGCAAGTCTTTGCAAATGATTCCACCATGAAGGTGTGGCCACACGTCGAGACGGTTCGACCCGTTCTTGTCCCTGGCGCTGCCAGTGACGAGGGACATGGTCCATGTCACGGACGGCTGTGTTTTTTTCAGCAGGGGGGCCGAGTTACGATACATGAAGGTCGGTCAGGTTTGACGTAAGGTCGAGGGCACGGTCGGGAAAGAGAGTTTTGGGATGGTGCGATCACGAACTTTGGCTTAGCGTGTCGCGCCGCGGGTTCTGGCCAACCACGCCTCGGCGCGACACGTTAGCCAGGTCAATTTCCAAGGCGTCAGCGCCCCGAGCCTTGCCCGGCCTCCCAACGCCGCGGAGCCGCGCGACACGCTGTCATCTCGCATGGCATAGCGTTTCGCCAGGGCCGCCACCGCGACCCGCTGAGCAGAAGTTCCTAACCGAAGAGCGGGATGCCGCAGGTTCGCGTCGTGCCGACGCGGCGGCGACCCCGCCGCTGGCGTTCAGGGTTCATCGCCGAAAGCGGCCCAGGATCAAACGGTATTGAACGATCCGCTGTTTCACAAAGAGCCGGTCGCCCAGGGTTGAGCGACCTACGCGGTGTTTGGGACCAACGCCGAAGTCGTGACGGCCTGACTCCCTCGTACGTGATCCAGCTGCACTTCTGCGTCGATCTGCCACCGCGCTTCGCTGTCCATCTGGCAGGCATGCTTGGCTCGGGAATCGAGCAGGTCGTCGAGCAGGGGCCTGTCGGCGCGATGATGCGCCTGCTTGCTTTTTTTGCTCCATGGTCCACGAGGGATTGACCTCCTCCCCTCGACGGAATCGCTGGAGGGTCCGCACAAGCTGGGGGAATTGCAACGAATTCGGCCGACGTTTAATGGAAGCCAACAGGTAAAAGTAAGGTAGACACGCCAAGAGAGATCAATGCTGGTGTCCTCGCCGTTTCTGAGGCAGCCGTTCGCAATTTCCGTTGATAACAACGGCGTCGCCCTGGGCCCAGCCAGCCAGGCATCAATGCAATTCTTTCTCGCATGAACCAGCCCCACACATTAATAAACGCACCGTCTGCAGGACGCCATCCGCAAGTTCTTGGAGCAAGAGAAGCTCAGTGGCAATGAGCAGTGGCACTGCGAGAAGTGCCGAAAGAAGGTGCGCTTCATTTGAGACGTTGCGTGTGTTTGAATCGTGTTTTGTCTTGCCAAGTGTGGGTGCGACCGCCTTTGTCCTTCAGCGCATGGTTTCCCGCGCCCGGACCCATTTCCGAGGCAGGAGTTGCAATCCCGTGACCACGGTGTTGTGGAACGTTGCGAGCAGATAGGTGAGGCGGAAACTATGAACCCCTTTGGTGGGGAATCGTGGGCGATAATGCTTGCCATATCGTTCTCAGACGGAATAGTCCGCGCCATCACCACGAAACATATGTTCAGTCGCGTCGGATGGCTGCAAAACTTGCACGTGCGAGCCACATGATTTGCGAACGGGCCCACGGAAAGCATACCAACCCCGCTATTGTACTCCCAGACCTCTCCCGTGGTGTGTTCTGACTCGGATTCCCAGGCGAGTCCAGCCGTAGCGACGAGGGACACAGGAGGCCACGTCATGCGAGAACGGATGAGGGGGAAGCTGGGGAGGGGTGTCCGCTCGAGACGCTGACATGAGGAGCCGTCAGGGCTGAAGGGAGGGGGGCCCCCTTGTGGCCGGGGCTTGCCGTGGCCAGAAGAGCCCTCCGTTCCGCACTCGGCGCTCCTTTCACGGCAGCACGAGGGCTGCATCCCAGCCTTCGGGGCCACCCGTGAGGAGCGCACCGAGCGAGACCCTCGATCCTCCTCGACCCTCGGATCCTCCTCGACCCTCCCCCGATCCTCCCCGATCCTCCTCCACCCTCGATCCTCCTCGACCGCCCGGGCGAGGCGCCGTGGCCCAGGAGCGCCAGGGGCAAACAGACGAAGAGCGGGCGGGCCGCGCGCGGCGGGAGGGCGGCCCGGCGGGGCACGCGAGCGGGGTGCCCGCCGCCACGGCAGAGGGCAGGGCTCGGCTCGGGCGGAGGGGCCCGCGCTGTGCGGAAGGAGCCAGGCCCCAGAGCCCCGGGGGCTCGCCCCCGGGGCCGGCCCGCCCCCTGAGGAGCCACGTGCGGACCCTACCCCTACCCCTACAGTGGGCCCTGGAAACGACGGGGCCGTTTTTGCTACCGGTTCAGTTTTGCCGTTTTTGCTGCCGGTTCCGACGCCGTGCTTTTTTTTTCGGGTTCCGTCGCCGTTCTTTTACGGGTTCCCGCTCCGGTTCCAATCCTGGAGCCGTTGTTGTTGCCGTTTCCGGTCGCCGTTTTTTTGCTGTTTCCATTTTCAAGGGGCACCTTTTCGGAAACGGTGAAAACACGGCCCTGCCGTTTCCGGGGCCCACTGAGCCCCTATACCCCCCACGAGTTCTGAGGGGGAGGGTGGGGTGCACTTCGTTCGGGAGCTCCCGAGCGAAGCGACCCCCCCCCTCCCCCTCAGAGATCGTGGGGCGTAGGGGCAGGGTTCGCACGTGGCCCCCCGGGCCCCCGCAGGCCGCATCGTCGCATGAAGGGCCCTATGGGGCCGTGGAGGGCCCGCGGGCGGCGAGCAGCGTGCAGGGCCCGGGGCCTCCGGGACCCGCCTGCCGCCCGCGGCTTCGCCACGCCTCCCACCCTCCGCCTCGCCGAGCAGCGCGGGCCGCCCGGCCCGTCGGCGGGGAGGGCGGTAAGCAGCCTTCGGGGGCGGCAGAGAGGGGGGTGAGGACTAAGGGGGGGGGAGATCACGGCGTGGGCCCTGATATTTCCCCACACATTTCATGGCGCCTCTTCTTACTTCATTACGCCCCTGGCCCCCCCGCTGGGCCGCGCACATGCCGCTGGTCACGAATTGCACCCCCCCCTTCTTGGACACCCCCCTCTTGGCCGCTCCCGAAGCCTCGATGTGCCGTCGACCGCCCAAAAGGCGGTGACAATCTCAAGGGATGCGCCCTCAGAAGCAGAGGGAATTCCTCAGATCGGCATCGAGATGAGGCGATGCTAAGCATAGGGATCGGGATATGCTTCAGGCTGGTAAGATAGGGAGAGGAGGGGATACGACACATCTCCCAGCCGCTGGGCGCCTTCTTCGACGCATAGGCGCCTCGGGCCCCGAACGAGCCAGGTACGTGAGATGATTCGCTGACCCCCCGTCTTTACAAACTCTCTCCCCTCCTCGCGTCCGACCAGTCCTCGGTCCGAGTCAGAGCTCTTCGTACGTGCGCACTTTCTGGCATAATCGTGCGACCTCGGAACGCTGGATCGAGGTGCATCTCTTGGCTAGCCAAGACTGGTGCCCCCTTTATTGTACCCCCGACCCGACCCGACAGAGGCCTGCGCTTCCCTGGGGAGGGTGCAGCTCCGCGCAGACTAGAGCAAGGAAGTGGCACACCATTCAGTGCGTTTGTGTTTGGAGATCTCGCCCTTCCTTGGACTCTGCGAGGCTTCTCGTCGCCATGCCTGGAAGAAGAAGAAAAAGAAGAAGAATAAGAAAAAGAAGAAGAAGAAGAGAGGCGCAAACAGGAACGTTCGGAGGTCCGCGCGGATTTCTCGGGTCCGCGCTGGGCCCTCCTGGCGGCGCCTCCGGCGCCGCCGCTGGGCGCCGCCACTGGCGCCCTCGGCGCGCCAGGGATGGGGGGGCGCAGCGCCGATCTAATTATGAAATCCGCGAGGAGCTCTGAAAGTTCATAGGTGTCTGGCGTTGTCCAGGACCGCTTCTGAGAAAAGGCGTCAGACGGGCCCTGCTTTTGTCACGGGGTCGTCAGAAAACGACTCAGGATGAGCAGCTGGTCCTGGGGCAAGCCGCGGGCTCCAGGAGCCCCTTATTCTTTTCCCTCCTACCAAGGTCCGAGTCTCATTTTTGCTTCGTGCGATCGACTGCCACCACTTTCTCCCCCCTGCCTCACGCTGCGGCACAGCCTTGCTGCGGTGACGCTTTGTGCTCGTGGATAGAGCCATCATCCGGGGGACGTTAACAATCCCACTCACCGATCCCAGCCAGGCTGGTCGTAGGCCCAGGATCGGTATACCTACTGGCCTGGCCAGGAAGGCCTGTACACCGATCTGGCCAGGACCCCGGAATGATGTCCGCTGCTTCAGCGGGAGATAGTCCGATGTTGGCTGCTCCCCTCCGGGCGCCGACAGAGGGAGCCAGGAGGATGAGGAGGAGGGGGAAGGGAGGCAGGGAGGGAGGGAGGGACGGAGGGGGGAAAAGGGGGGAGTGAGGAAGTGGGTTTTCTGATTTCCAGCTCACGCGCGTGCCAGGTTTCACACTGTTCAGCCTTCCGCTCCTGCCTCCGAGTGGCCCTCGCCCCTTCCCCCCCCTCCGCACATCGCACCCTTGTCCTGCAGGTCGACGCCATGAAGAAGATCGACCTTTGGAAGCTGCCCCCGGTCCTCCCACCACGCCACGGCCCCCGCCCTCGTCGGCGGAGGAGGGCCAGGCCACGTGCGCGGTCTACTTCCATCTACCCCCGTTCAGCTGGAGCTGTTCTGGGGCCATGAGCGAGAGCACGCCCGAGAGCCAGCGGTTGCCAGCGACTGCGTGTCCTGAGGCCCGCCAAGGCCACGACGGACGGGCCCGTGACTCCGCCACCGGGCCAGTTTCAGTCGCCAAGGGCCAGCCCTTGTCGGTGGCGGCTCATGTTGAGGCCTTCCAGCCATGGCCTTGCCTTCGAGGGTCGAACGAGTTGACAGTTCTTCCCCGGCGGAAGGCAGCGACGCGCTACCCACTTGCAAGGCACAGCGTGTCGCCGGGGCCGCCGCAGCGACACGCCGAGCAAAAGTTCCCGACCGCAGCAGTCTGCTTGGGGGATGCAGGATCCCACGATTCGGCCACGTGCCGCGCGGAGCATGCGGTATCTCGGCCACCCGCAGTGGCGCGAAGGTATACTCGCGCCCTCTCCTGGGCAGAAGGAGCTGCGCCGCTCCAGGGCCTGGCGGCGCCTAGGGCGCGAAGATGCGGCGTAAGATCTCGGGGCCCTCGAGGCGTCTAATAACACACTTCCGTTGTGCGTGTTCGCTACGCTTTCGTTCCATGCTCGCTTGTTTCGGCGATGGGGCGTTCTACTTCTGTTCCTGTTTCGCTCCAGCGTCGTTCCAGTTTCGATCCGTTCCAGCGTCGTCTCAGTTTCGCTCGCACTAGAACGGAACTATAGAACGAAGCTATAACGAAACCGGAAAGAAAATCAAAAGCGCGTGCGTTATTGAAGGGTCCCGCGATCTTGCACCTAACGAAGGCAACGGCGCCCCGTGCGGTGCGCAGCGCCAAGTCGGGCGACCCACCGAGGGTGCCCGCAGTTCGACCGCTTCGGCTCGCAGTCGGCTGCATTCGTTGGGGGCGGAGCAGCTTCCGTAAGCCTAAACTGTTGGAGTTCCGAGCGTCTGCGTTCATGTCTTTTTTCATGTTTGGAATTCGGCCCATTCGCTTCGATCGGCTGTCGCGCCACTGCGCCCTTCTTGGCTGCTCTCGGCCTGTCGGTGTCCGTCGGTCTCGGTCTTGCCTTGCCGATTCGGTCGGCCTTCGGCTCTTGCTGCCGCCGTGGGCGCCATCTGCTCAGCCCCAGCGCCGTCCGCGCGGAGGTCCTGATCCTCCACCTCAAGCGCTTCGAGTTCGACCAGGCCAGCCCCTCGGCGCGGCGCCGTACGAGGGCCAGCGCGCTCCCTTCGCGCGCGAGGGGCGGTCCGGGACAAGGGGTGCCCAGACATGCTCGCGTGGTAAAAAAATCACGACAGGAGGTTTCCGGTTACTTTCTGGCTTTGGGGGCCCTCGCCAGGCCTTGGGACCGACAGCAAAAACGACTCGGGATGAGAAGCTGGGGCACCGCGCATCGAACAGATCAGGGTAGCGCATGTATGGGTGGGGATCCTTCGCCCAGGGGCTTCAAGAGAGCCAGCAAGAGGCCGAACACGCCCTCAGGAGGGGTCCAAGACTGGCCCAGGTCGGCACCCAAGAGGGCCCAAGGACTGCCCCAATGCTGCCCAGGGGTGGCCTCAAGACGCACCCACACGGTCCCAAGATCCGCCGGACGTGATCATTCAAACCCCAAGACGGTCCTTGGAGGCCCCGAGGGCTTGTTTTTTTTGTCCACCGCTGGGGCGCCCCTGCTCGCTCCCCGCCTCCGCTTCCGCGTCCTCGTCACCCCCCTTCCCTGTCGCCTTTGGGCGGGCGCGTCTTGTCCTCCTCGTCATTCACCCCCTGTTCTGTGGAGGCCTCGACCAGCTTCGTGAAGACGGAGAGGTGTCTGCGGATGAAGATGTCGGGGCTCGATCTGTCCGACGTCTGCTCGTCCGAGCAGAGGGACGGTGGGTCTGGGGGGAGTCTGATATAATAGGAGGAAGGAGGTAGGGGCAGAGTAGGGGGAGAGGGATGTAAGAGAATAGTATGATAAGCGGAGGAGATAAACGAAGATGAGGAGGAGGAACAGAGCAACCCCAGGGTGCATGAACAGTGTTGCAACACAACCCTCCCGTTCCAAGTACACCCCCTCACCAGTCGCTGCGCACAAGCTGGAAAGGCGAGCGCCTCATGGGGCTGCTATTTAGTCGGGAGATCCGTTTTGAATAGGAGTCATTATCCATCCTTGTGGCTATCAGACTTGGCAAGATGTAGGATAATCAAGTTCGAGCATGTGCCAAGCGAAAGCCCCACTTTGAAAGGTACCTCCCATCCCTCCATCTGTGCGATTGCTGCACATCTTGATGCCCTGGGTCACCAAGGTAGCAAGAGCCCAATTTTGGAAAGGAGTCGCCTTCCTTCCATGTGATTGTTGCTCTAATCTCAAAATCTCGGTGCACACATTCTTGCGATGGCCAGCCAGCGATAGGCCCAGCTTAAAGGGTGCTGCCACCCACACGTATAGCTGGTGCTGGACGCACGAGCATCGGCACCACCATGGCGAGAGCCACTTTGTGGAAAGCACCTGACCTCCGCATGTGTCGTTGACGTTTCGAGACGAGTTGGCAGACGAATTTGCGCGGCGCTCCGATGAGAGTCGCAGCTGTCACGATGTAAAATCCCTTTGCCGTCCAGCGTTGTAGTGAAGCTTCGGGGTTATGCGTTATAGTTTAGTTGTGGGCGAAACACCAAGGACGCCCTAGCCACGTTTGGTAGTGCGGCGCGGAGGAGTTCCGTATCTGGTGGCATTCGACCCAGCCTGCCACCTTGCTTGTGTGGTGGACCAGAGGCCTCTTACATGTCTTTTGGAGGCCATGCTGGGGCTTCACATGGGCTGGTTTGGGGCAGCTTGGGGATCTTCTGGCGGCCTTTTGTTGGCTTTCTGAGGGCATCTTGGGGTCGACCTGGCGATTTCGGAGGCCATCTTGGTGTGGGGTGCTCGAAGTGTCAGCTCGAGCTTCCCTTCTTGGACCTTGCTCGGAACCGTCTCTGGGGCATCTTGGTCCCTCTTGGGTGCCTCTTGAGCCGTCCTGGCCCGATCTTGGAGGCCTCTTGGGCCGTCTGGCCCCCAGGGCCTCGAAGGCAGCCCAAGATGTGCCCAAGAGGGTTCCAGCAGTGCCCTCTTGAACCGTCTTGGGACCCTCTTGGGTCCCTCTGTGGCTGTTCTTGAGCAGTCTTGTCACTACAGCCCTGGAGATTCCAGCTTTTGGGGTTAAGACCGAATGTCCTCACAGACTCTCGCCCAGAGTCTTGCGAACATCTGTCACATAATCTCCAGCAGCAGCGCTGGGGTCACCATCAGATCTCGGCAGCAGATCCCACTGGCGAAATCTCCAGATGTACCTTCCTTACAAAACCCCCAGGTCGAAAATCCCAACCAAATCTCAACCACATTTGCGGGGACCCCCCCTTCTGCATGGTAGCAATCTCCAGCGACATCTCTGGGCCATTGTGCCCGCGCGAGAATCTCTGGCAACATCTCAGTTGTTTTTCTGGGTTGTGCTAGGACTGATTAGGTCGCATTGGAGTGTATGAGTATTTTTAACATTAAAAAATGTATAGTAGTTATTGGAATGCACTTGAGTTGCTCAGAGTTGTTAGGGTTCATGAGGATGTATTAGACGTATAGGAAATATTCAAACGTTTAGATGCGGTTCGAATTCATTCGAACGCTTTCGGACTGACTAGCACTGTTTAGACTGTATTAGAATTGGCCCGAACGGATCACAACGTATTATAACTTATTAAAGTTGTTAAGCCCTAGGGTATGTGCTTAGAGTTTAGAGCCTGCCAGGGATGATCAAATTGTACAGAGTGAGTTTGATTTGGTTGTAGTGCTCCGATATGCATAATGTGTTATGTTTGGTTCGACACTGTCAGAATTGGCAAGGATCACTTGTGCGCAATCGAATATATGAAAAGCGATTCGAATGTCGTCGGTTTGCATAAAATGTATCAGAAAGCGTTGGAACCGACTCGGATGTATTTGAGAATGTCTTGTTGCTTTGTGCCGATCGCAATGTGTCAACCCTGATACTACGGAGTATAATGTATCTAAGATAGTGTCGGATGTAGAAGAATTGGTGGGGGCAGGTGAGGATAGGTCAGGATGTGTGTTTACTCGGATTCGGATCGATGCCGATTGTTTAGGGTGTCTTCTGATTCTGATTGCCTGGGGCCGCACAATGGATTTCGCAACGCCACTACTAAGCACAGCTCTGCGCTGGTAGTTCGCTTGTCCTTGCCGCTGCAGATAGTGGTGGTATGGCTCGCGGCAGGCATCGTTAAAAAAAAAGGCTTGCCATCACCATCCCCCGCTACTCTCCGAACCGTTGTCTGGGCCAGTGTTTTTTGGGGCGGCTTCTGGGAGCAGATCGGCAGCGGCATTGTCATATGCCTCGATTCCTGCCTGCGGGCGCGGCAGCACTTTTACTGACCGCGACTTTCATTCATTCACGCCTGCTGTCCCTCCCTCTTTTTTCCCCGAAAGGGCGTCGGCCCAGGGTTCTCTTTTACTAGGTTTACCCCCGGTTTTGACGGCTGTAGGGCCGGCGAATTTCTTTTGCGACAAAGAACGAGGTCGCGTAGGGCCGGCGAATTAAGATTTGAGGATGTCTCAAGCGAAGCGCTTATTTTTTTCTGAATGTGTTGAGGATGTCTCCAGCGAAACGATTGTGTTGTGTTATAGATTGTCCTCTCCTGGGGACCTGAATTCTGAGGATCTCTCAAGTGGATTGCTTGTTTTCACGTGCCCAGGTCTTGAGGATGTCTCGAGCGAGACGCTTGGTTTCACGCCTCCAGGTGGCCCAGACAGATGTCTAGCACGAGGATTTGTTGAGGATGTCTCGAACCAGAGGCTTGTTTTCACGCGTCCAGGTCGCCCAGGCGGATGTCTAGCATGAGCATTTGTTGAGGATGTCTCGAGCGAGACGCTTGTTTGCACGTGTCCAGGTTGCCCAGGCGGATGTCTAGCATGAGGATGTGCTGACAACGTCTTGAGCGAAACGCGTGTTTTCACGTGTCCAGGTCGCCCAGGCACAGCACAGCACTCGGCACGGTACATCAAGATCGATACACTCAACTATGCACTTGGCACGTTCATTGGCGCGTTCCGTGGCGAGTCCACCTGGCACGTCGCGCGGCGCGTCCCCTGGCACGTCCCTCGGCACGTCCATTGGCACGTTCCGTAGCGCGTCCCCTTGGCACGTCCCGCGGTGCGTGCCCATGGCACGTCCCTTGGCATGTCGCCTGGCGCGTCCCTTGGGACGTTCCATGGCGCGTCCTCCTGGCATGTTCCCTCTGTCGATTAGTTCTGGGGCAGCTACCATCTGCTCAGGCAGCTCGAGCTTACGATCCAGATCAGTTCGGTGAGGACTCGGATGCCAGGGAGGACTCGATCCACAACGCTAAATAGAGCACAATCGCGGCATGGCACATCGCAGTTCAGCACGGCGTAGCACAGCACAGCCCTCGGCACAGTACATCATCATCGACACATTTAGCATTGCATATGCCCGTCGCCCAATCAGGTGTCTTTGAAATGGTGCAATGCCTTACATTTCTATATTCCTTTCCGGGATCGTGGGTCGATCATGCTTTCGTATCCTTTCCCTCCCTCTCCCCTACCACTGGTCTGGTTGGCCGGCGACGGGGGCCCTCAGTTGCCAAAGTGCACTGCCCGCCGGTGGCGGAGTCCCGGGGAGAGCGCCCTTGGGGGAGCCTTGTCTGAGCGGCCCTCGCGCTTGGAAAGAGGGGGTGGCGAGGAGGTTGGAAGACCCAGGATTGAGGTTTTGTTTTTGTTTTTCGGCTTGGGGGGGCATTCTGACGGGGATGGGAGAAGCAGGCGGAGGAGCAGGAACAGGAACATCAGGAGGTGGTGTAGCAACCGCAGCAGGAGGACCAACAGCACGAGGTCTCGCGGCCTTGCCTGGCTTTTAGAGCACGGCTGTCTTCCTTCCGACTTGGGAGTTCCAGTTGCGCGCCAGTGCCGGACTGCTGGTCGGGCCCGGAGTTCGCGCGCGTGCCTGCGCCTCCCATCCCGGCGCGGCGGGTTGCCCCCAGAACGGTAGGATGGATTGGGGGGGGTGATTTTTTTGACTGCACTTAGCTCGTTGCAAGTAGCTTGAGCGGGGCGGCCGCAGGTCGGCTAGGCGGCAGACAGAGCCCGCCTAGCGGGCACTACAAAGGATCTCCGCTCCTGGTCCGTCCGCAAGCAAAAGCGATTCTTCGCCATTGGACCTGCATGTTGGGCGGGGGAGGTATTGGCACCGAAGGGGAGGGAGGGGGAATATATGAGGAAGAGAAGGGATCGGTGCCGTGCGAGAGTCACTAAGCGCGCCAGCTAGGCGTTGCCCTATGCGGGCAGCGCTGAAAGACCGAAGAGCAGCACAGCTGGCCTCAGGAACGGCCACCTGGGAGCATGGCTTAGCCATGGATATGAGCGGGATGAGTAGGAAGAGAGCCAAAATGGCAGTGCCGCGCTGTAGGGCGGCAGTGTCGGAGCGGACCAGGAGGGAGAGGCTGGCATTGCCGCCTAGAGACCTAGGAAGCCCCATCGGAAACGCACGTGACCGGTAAGGGGGGCAGGTAAGAGAATGCCTGTGCTGTACTTGGCTTCTTAGTGTTAGCGGGATTCGCCGACACGTGGTAAGAGGAGGAGGGAGGAACTCTAGGGGGGGTGAAGGAGTATCTTGCACAGCCAAGAAGCACTAAGGCGAGGTAGCTGTCCGCAGCAGGTGCGCACCTCTGACGGGCAGCATTAGCCGAGAGATACTCGGCAGGAGGGAGGGGGGGTTCCCCGGAGGATGCTCTGCCAAGGAGCTGCCGTGAGCGGAAAAGGCCATTTGCGCCGAAGACGGCCGCATGGAGACCAGCTATATGCCAAGACGGTGCAACGTATGACATAACA